ATAAAGAAGAGAGGTTGAACTGGCTCACAGTTATTCAGGCTGTACAGAAAGCACAGCTGGGAAGCCTCAGGAAACTTACAATCATGGCGGAAGGTGAAAGGGAAGCAGGCGCATCCTATATAACTGGAGTAGGAGGAAATGCAGTTGGGGGTGGGGTTGCTAAACAACGAGATATTTCGAGAACTCAGCATCACAAGAACAGCACCCAGGAGGATGGTGCTGAACCATCAGAAACTGCGTCCCTGATCCAATCACCTCCCACCAGGCCCCGTCTCCAACACTGAGGATTACAATGGAATCTGGACCTGCGGGCGACACAGATCCAAACCTTATCACCATTTCTGTTTTTGGGTTTTGTTAGTTTAAAATCTGTTTCGTGGCCGGACGTGGTGGCTCATGCCTGTAATCCAAACACCCTGGAGGCCAAGACGGGCGGAACACCTGAGGCCGGAAGTTCAAGACCAGCCTGACCAACATGGTGAAACCCCATCTTCCAAAAAAAAAAAAAACCTGTTTTGTATAAAATTAGAACAGAATAGCAACCCCTGCTTTTTCCTGTTCTCCATTTGCTTAGCAGAGTCTTCTCCATCCCTTTACTTTGAGCCTTTGGGTATCACTGAATGTGAGCTAGGTCTCTTGAGGTTTTATGCCACTGTATTAAACAGAAAGCCAAAAATTAGGTTTTTTTTGTATGTTAGCAGCTAAGTATGTTAAGTTAACAATGGGCCAAAGAATCTCAAAAATACTTTTTTCTCTAAAAATTGTGGCAAACCTCCCTAGATACTAATAGAGTGGTGATGATGAGACATCCTGAAATCAAAGGACAAGAGAACATCAAAGGAATACTGTTTTTGTGATGTTCCTGTGCTCTGCCCTAGGGAAAAGAGAGGTGAAATTGATTATGGCCAATTAATAGGAAGAAAGAAAAGGCAACTCAGAATAGAAATTTGTGTGTTTGTGTGTATGAAAGAGAGACAGATGAGACAGGAGAGAGCCAGGTGTGGTGGCTCATGCCTGTAATCCCAACACTTTGTGAGGCTGAGGTGGGCAGATCACCCGAGTTCAGGAGTTCAAGACCAGCCTGGCCAACATGGCAAAACCTCGTCTCTATTTCAAAAATACAAAAATTAGCCAGATGTGGTGGCACATTCCTGTAATCCCAGCTACTTGGGAGGCTGAGACAGGAGAATCACTTGAACCCAGGAGGCGAAGCTTGCGGTGAGCAGAGATCAGACCACTGCACTCTAGCCTGAGCGACAGAGCAAGAATCAATCTCAAAAAGAAAGAAAGAGGGCCAGGTGCAGTGGATCAAGCCTGTAATCCCAGCACTTTGGGAGGCCAAGGCGGGTGGATCATGAGGTCAAGCGATCAAGACCATCCCGGCCAACATGGTGAAACCCTGTCTCTACTAAAAATAGAAAAATATTCGCTGGGCGTAGTGGTGTGCACCTGTCATTCTAGCTACCCAGGAGGCTGAGGCAGGAGAATTGCTTGAACCCAGGAGGCAGAAGGTGCAGTGAGCTGAGATCACGCCACTATACTCCAGCCTGGGTAACAAGGGCGAAACTCCATCTCAAAAAAAAAAAAAAAAAAAAAGAAGAGACGGGAAAGCCCATCACCACTAGGTGAAGACTGAATTGAGCTCTCATCAAAAATCTCCTGACATCCCATTCTAACTAGAATACAATTCAAACTCCATGAAGGCTTCACAAAATCTGCCTTCCTCCTATCTTGACGAGAGAATAAACTCCTAGATTCCAGCAGGCTCCACACACCTAAGTGGCACATCAGAGATAGATGTGCAGAAGACAGAAGGTACCTAGCTGGTGAAAGTCTGAAGCTGTCAAAAGGAAGGCAAAGTATGCAGACCACCTAATCAAGAAGCCCAGCCTGGGGATAACTAGAAAGGTATATTCAGACCACGGTATACATAAATGAGGATATGCCAGGCAAAGGAGAAAGATACATACAGAGAATGGAAGAATTTGTGCAGAACGTATACTAAAGAGCATTCCTGGGATGGTGTGGGCAGAGGTAGAGTCAGAGCTTTATGTGAGCCACTGCAACTCAACCTAAGGCAATCTTGGTTTTTTAAGCTATAAAATGGGGCTAAAAATTCCTTTCTTGCAGGAGTTTTGTCAGGAAGATTAAATAAAATGGCTTATGAAAACACACCACGAATCAGAGTGGGTGCCAAAAAGGAGTGCTTCCCTCACCTTCTCAATAAGCATCACCTAAACTGCATGCTGAACAGATCCCTGGTCCCCAATCCTGGATGGAAGCACAATTTCCACCGAAGCCATCTGGCAGTCTGCATAGTTAGCAGATGATTGCTTATCAGGGAAATGTGGGAAACCTGGCATTACTCACTTCTCCCATAAGCTCCCACATGATGTGGAACACAGAAATGTCTCCAACAGAATAAAATGGCTGTGAAATCCAGTCCTCTGCCACTGAATGAGAAAAACTTGCAATTTTCAATTTAACAGGAGATGTTAAAATGATGTTTTTTAAACGGTATGTCTCTTAACGGTATTCCTCTGTCAACACTTCCTATTATTCTCTAAGCCTTAAAGGTTTTTGGTTTTTTGGGTTTTTTTTTTGTTGTTGTTGTTTTTTTGGTGTTTATTTTTTGAGACAGAGTTTTGCTCTTGTTGCCCAAGCTAGAGTGCAATGGCGCGTTCTCGGCTCACCGCAACCTCCGCCTCCTGGGTTCAGGCAATTCTCCTGCCTCAGCCTCCTGAGTAGCTGGGATTACAGGCATGAGCCACCATGCCCAGCTAATTTTTAGTATTTTTAGTAGAGACGGGGTTTCACCATGTGGACCAGGATGGTCTCGATCTCTTGACCTCGTGATCCACCCGCCTCGGCCTCCCAAAGTGCTGGGATTACAGGCTTGAGCCACCGCGCCTGGCCTTGTTTTTTTTTTGTTTTTTTTTTTTAATTGATTTAGGGCATGAGAACAAAGTATCTCCAATAAATATACCGAAATGTAGTCAAAATTGCAGTCCCATGGTACTGCACCATTTAAACAACACATAGCTCAACGTGGGACTGATACTTAACAATTCGAGGAAAGCGATATGACAAGGAATGAAGATCTCAACCATGAGAACAGCCTAGGAAACCAGAGCCAGCCAACACTTTCTAGAAAAATTATCTTCTTATAAGCAAAACTGCCATTATCTAAAGAGCCTCTGATGAATCTGGCGTTACTCAAGAGACAATAAATAACAATCTAAGGGCATCTTTTTTCGCAGATCTTGGTATGAAGAGCAGTTCTTAGTGAAATAAAAAGAAAGCAACAAACCAACTTGTGAATGTCAAATCAGCATGCTTTCAGACGGAAAATAACCCGGCAGCCTGAGCAGATCTTCCCAAATATTTAACGTCTCCTTGTAAATACAAAGACAGTTTCATGGTCTGCAGCTAGGTGAGGAAGACTGAAGACCGCCAAGTCAAACATTCGGGCTAGCGTTAATAGAGGTGGCCACTGGAGACCCGGGGAGTTAACTAGGCTCAAAGGTCGGCGTGGACACGGGAGCCCAGAGCACGAGGAGCGCCCAGCCGCTCTGCAGCCTCCTGAGCCATCCACCTACTCATAGCACCCAGCTGGTCCTCGTGAGGGAAATGGGACTTGGCGTTGAGAATCGCTGTGGTTTCCGATGCACTAGCAGTCACTATGTTACTTCCACCCCTACCCCGCCCCCCAACACACACGCGGTTTTTAAACATTACTTTTCAACAGCAGCCTCTCCTGCCCCGCCTGCCCCTCCCCACCGCCCCGCCAACCCCCTCTACCGAAAATACTAAAAAATACAAACGGTGTTTTGGGTTTGTTTTGGTTTCTGGACTTCGCTTTTTATAGATTTTCTTTTAATCCAAAATAACAGCACCTAGGAAAGAAGCCCGAGATTCCCGGGAGCTCCGGGGCCGGCGGCCGCACCGCGACAAGTGGCTTGTCCCTTAGCCCGAAAATTCACAGCAGCCCAAACGCCGCGAGGTACTCCGCGCCCTCCTCTCCCCTAAACGGCCGCCTCGGTGCCTGCTGCGTTAGGTCTCGCCGTACCGCGGAGGGGAGAAGCGTTTCTCGGAAAACTTTCTACGGCAGGAGACCAGAACCTTCCAGCCCCCCAGCCCCCCTCGCGCGCAGACCCTTGCACAAGAAAACGGCAGTGAAGGGGGCGCCGGGCGCTGCTCCCGGCTTCGCGACCGCACGGCCTCGCCGGCGGCTCCTGCGAGAGGGTCCCCGGGCAGACAGACCCTCCCTGCCCGCGCGGCTCCGGGCCGACCGCGACGCTGCGCGCCCCGCCCGCCGTCCGCGGCTCCCGGACCCCCGGCGCCCTCCCGGCCGCGGCGGCGGCGCACCCCGGTGGCTCGCGGGTCCCAGCGCCCGCGGCCCCCGCAGTCTCCGCACGCCGCGCTCCCGGGGGCTGGCAGGGCGTGTGGGGGGCGAGCAGCCCTCCGCGTCCCCACCCCACCCCGACCTCGGAGGCCGACACGCCGGAGGGTCCGGGCGGCACAGCCCCCAGGCCGCGGGCTCCGCGCACCCCGGTCCCCCTCACCCGGGCAACGCGCACCCGCAGCGAGACCGGCGGCGAAGACGGCCCCGCCGAGGCCCGGCAGCGACGGCCGGGGGCGCCGCGCTCGCTCCAGCCGGCCGCTCCTCTCCCGCGGCGCCTGCAGCATCGGGCCCCCGGAGCCGCGGCCGGCGGAAACCGGAGGGAGGCGGCGCGGGCTCGATTCCTGCCCCCCGGATCCGGCGGGGGAGGGGAGGGGGGCGCGGCGCGGAGTCTCAGGCTCCCAACGGCCCGCGCGCTGCCCGCCGCTCGGGGTCCGGGTCCCGGGCGACTGCGCCGAGCGCTGCGGCTCCGCGGCTGGCACCGGTTGCGCGGTGGCCGCGGCCGCCCCTGCTTCGCGGAGGAAGGCGCGAGGCGGCGGGAGGCTGCGGGCCTCGCTGTCCCCCGGGCGGCGACGCGGGAGCGCAGCCGAGTCCCTACCTTTCGGGCGGGGCGGACTCCACCGCGCGCCCTCGCCGGGCGCCGGGGCCGGAAAATCACCGCGGAGGGAGGGACGGGGAAAGGCGGCGGGTGGCTTCAGGACAAGGTAGGAGGATCGATTTCCACCGCCGAGAAGACACTCCCATCCCGCCCTGGCGCGTTCGCAAAGCTGCAGGAGCTGGAGTGAGGGGCGGCCGGGCGCGGAGGCGAACAGCGGGGCTCGCGGCGCCGCGGGCTGTGACACAAAGCCCAGCCCGAGGTCTGGCCCATCCGAGGGGAGGAGTGTGCAGGGAGCTCCTGAATTCCGGGCTCCGCCCGCCAAGGGCAAACGTGTGAGTCCTTTTTGTCTTCTGAAGCAATTGCTTTAGGGAGAACGAAGGTGGAACGTGCGTTTTGCCTTTTGGCTCCGTAGAAAAAAAGCCTACGTTATTCATGTCCTCTTACTGGGATGGCTCTGAACGCTTCTTAAACGTGTCTGTCAAATAATTCCTTGTCTAGAAACATTCAAGTCATAGCTGCAGCCTGTGGGCACTGAGCAGTGTAATCACGTGCCATCAAATGACCCCGGAGAGAAGACCCACAGACTTGGATGCAATTCAAAGTTGGCAGTGTGTCCTGAAGTGGAACAAAGTCCATCTGTGATGCGCTCTCTGGTACTTCTCACTGTCTGTCTGTCTGTCTGTCTGTCTCTCTCTCCCTCTCTCTCCCCCTCCCCCCATATATATATTATATATAATGCATATTATATATGTATATATAATTATATATTATATATTATATATAATGCATATTATATATGTACATATATAATTATATATAATACGTATTATATATACGTATATATAATATATATATTTGTTTTTGTTTTTGTTTTGTTTTGTTTTTGACACGGAGTTTCGCCCTTGTTACCCAGGCTGGAGTGCAATGGCGCGATCTCGGCTCACCGCAACCTCCGCCTCCTGGGCTCAGGCAATTCTCCTGCCTCAGCCTCCTGAGTAGCTGGGATTACAGGCACGCGCCACCATGCCCAGCTAGTTTTTTGCGCTTTTAGTAGAGACGGGGTTTCACCATGTTGACCAAGATGGTCTCGATCTCTCGACCTCGTGATCCACCCGCCTCGGCCTCCCAAAGTGCTGGGATTACAGGCTTGAGCCACCGCGCCCGGCTGTTTTTGTTTTTTTTAGACAGGATCTTGCTTTGTCGCCCAGGCTGGAGTGCAGTGGCACGATCTTGGCTCACTGCAACCTCTGCCTTCCCTGCTCAGGCAATTCTCCTGCCTCAGCCTCCCAAGTAGCTGAGATTACAGGCTCGCCCCACCACGCCCAGCTAATTTTTGTATTTTTAGTAGAGATAAGGTTTCACTGTGTTGGCTGGGCTAGATCCAAACTCCTGACCTCAAGGAATCCGCCTGCCTCCACCTCCCAAACTGCTCTGGTATTTGTCTTAATTATAACAACAGCTCTGGGAAGTACCATTTGTTGTTTTCCCAATCTTACTAACAACAACAACAACAAAAAGCTGAAGGGCTCAGATAATTCATATTCTTTGCCCTTTCTACAGATTGCCTTTGACATAACCCACACAGATTTTGTAATTTTAAACGTGGCTCTTGAGACATCAGGATAGCGAAGTGAGGGAATTTGTCTATCTTGTCTATCTGAACTTCTTGGTGTTGAGGTTTACTTTGCTCTTTTAATTTCTCCCGGGTTCTTCATTGACCTCTCTCGTTCATGAGCCTAAAAACTAAAACTGTATTGCACCTCATCGACTCTGGCCTTCTGGACTTTTTGAATCTACAAAGTAATGTGCTAAGAAGAGAGGCTATCTGCTGTTCGGAGGTGACATTTGTGTTTCACATTTGGTAGTGGCCAGTATCTGCTGTTCACCCCAACCTAGTTCAAAAGCTGTCTCTTCCACTGACCCGCTGTGTGACTTTTGGTAAGTGGCTTATCCACAGTGGGCTGCTTGTTTGTCAGGTGTAAAGTGAGATACTACAGCTTCTCCTCAAGTGCAATGAGGATGAAAACAGTGTCTGTTGCAAAGAAGGCTCGGCACAGTGCTTGCGACAAAACCCATCAGTTCAGGAAGTCACATGTTGACTTTAAAAAATAACACGAAAAATATTAACTACCAGCCATTGCCCACCATGAGTCAGCCACGCACCAGGCCTTGTGTTTGTTCCTCTCGCTCATCCTGCAAGCCAGTCCTGGTGGAAAGGAAGGAACAGAGTTAGGTGGTTAAGTGATTACTGCCTGAGTTGCAGCTGTGACTCAAAGGAAAGCACCTAGGGACAAATTCATTGTTCTTTCTGAGATACCACCACTATGTAACTCTCTGTGGTGGTGGCGGCGGGGGGTGGGGGGGCGGTTGATCTGTGTAACATTAATTTGTAAAAATTCAGGATGTATTACTGTATGGGCACGTGATTGCTATTATGTAAATGTTTGATATTCCTGTGGAAACTGACAAAGGCCTAAGTAGGGAGATGGAATTAAAAGTTTTTAGTCCTCTCCGGGTTAGTGTTTTTGGTCACTATTTTGAAAAACAAAATGCTCTCCCAATATATGTATATTTAATTCAGCCTTTTGATAGAAAATGTATTCTAATAAGCCAGGAAGGGAAAAGCCACAAAGGAGGACAGGACTCCTGGGCCACGCAGGGTCTTTCAAAGGCCTCTAAAATCATCATTTTCAGGCAGTGTTCATATAGGGCTGGCCCCGTTTTGCTAGGTTTGTTTTTTGATTATGGTGGTGCAACCTCTTTGAAATCAATGCTGCTGTTTCCTAGGCTGTGGCCTCTGTGTGCCACTGAGAGGTAGAGGCCAGTTTCCCGACATCGCCACAGGAGGCCATTCAGCACTTGTAAATGTGTGCTCTCCAACAGACCAAAGAAAGTATTTCCTCCTCATCCCCACTGTAGATCTGCCTTCTAAGTCTCATGGCCTGTCCCAAGTATAGCCTTTCCTGACATGATTGATGGCAAGAATGTCTACTCCAGGCATTCCCAAACTACGGCACCGGCACCGCGGGCCCCATGCGGCCCCCTGAGGCCATTTATCCGCCCCCCCCCCCCCCCGCACTTCAGGAAGGGGCACCTCTTTCATTGGTGGTCAGTGAGAGGAGCACAGTATGTGGCGGCCCTCCAACGGTCTGAGGGACAGTGAACTGGCCCCCTGTGTAAAAAGTTTGGGGGCGCTTGGTGTACTCCTCGTAGGAGAGACCTACTCATAAGGGTGTGCTCTCAGCACGACAATCCGATCACATCGTAGTAGGTGAACCCCAGGACTGGAGCTACATATAAAGTGACAACAGGCCAGCCACAATATCCTCTTATAAAATAATTTTTAAAATATAAAAATTTTATAATATAAAAATCCTCTTATAAAATAATGTTTATAAGCTGGGCGCGGTGGCTCATGCCTGTAATTCCAGCACTTTGGGAGGCCGAGGCGGGTGGATCATGAGGTCAAGAGATCGAGACCATCCTGGCCAACACGGTGAAACGCCATCTCTACTAACAATACAAAAAATTAGTTCGGCATGGTGGCGTGCACCTGTAGTCCCAGCTACTCAGGAGGCCAAGGCAGGAGAATTGCCTGAACCCAGTAGGCGGAGGTTGCGGTGAGCCGAGATTGCGCCATTGCACTCCAGTGTGGCGCCTGGTAACAAATCGAGGCTCCGTCTCAAAATAAATAAATAAATAAATAAAATAATCTTTACGAAAAATTTAACTTTTTAAATTTCTTACAGCACATGATGTATAATTTTTTAAATACAAAAAAATTAAACTAAAATGTTCTTATAAAATAATTTTTAAATCATAAAAATATTTAACTTTTTTCTTTTACAGTACATGTTCAACAAGTTTCTTTTAAAAAACAATTTTCAAGGTCAAGTTCAATTTTTTTTTTTTTTTAATTTGACACACTGGTCAGAGAACATTGAGTTCAAACATTATCTCATTCATGACTGAGCTTCACCAAGCTAATCCTTTTTACATACAATCCTTCCTCCAACTCGAGGAGAAGATCCTGCCAGTGCAGTCTTCTGGCTGTCTTGGCGTTTTATCTCCTATAAGCAGTTATTTAAAGAATATGTACATCTCAGAAAGAGTAAGTGCCAAAGCAGTCTAAATCCTAATTTAGAGCTATGACTGTCCACAGTGTAGAAAATGGATCACATTAGCAAAAAGCAGTTTAGTTGCTTTAAGCAGAGTCATACTTCTCCAAAATCTCTGCTTCAGGCTAGAGTCTCAGCTACATTTTTGCATATGCAGATACCCACTGTGATGATTTTCCCACTATTACGATTGTACAAAAAAAGGAGTCAAGTCTACCAGGAAACTTACTTGCAACCTCATAAATGATGGTGTCCTCATATTCGGCCAGTTCTGTCAGTGTCAGAGGTCTTCGTTGCTCACTCTCTTTTACTGAAGGCTGGGGGGGTGAGGGGAGGTGGGATGGTGAGACTGGGAATAAGCTCACCCTAAACTCCTGAACACATACAACATCTGTACGGTGGAAACCGTAAATAGGGCAACTGACAGGAAATAAGCGCAACATATTACTTTTTAAAAGGGAGAATATACAGAATATGTGAAAAAAAAAATCCTATGGATCAGTACAAAAACAAAACCTATTGAAACAGAAAACAAGCCATAAACAAACAATTCATGAAAGAAATAGAAGGGCCAGGCACGATGGCTCACACCTGTAATCCCAGCGTTTGAGGAGGTTGAGGCAGGTGGATCCCCTGAGGTCAGGAGTTTGAAACCAGCCTGACTAAAAATACAGAAATTAGCCAGGCATGGTGGCGGATGCCTGTAATCCTAGCTACTCAGGAGGCTGAGGCAGGAGAATTGCTTGAAGCTGGGAGGCAGAGGTGGCACTGAGTGGAGATTGTGCCACTGCACTCCAGCCTGGGCAACAGAGTGAGACTCCACCTCAGGAAAAATTAAGTACTTTACAAACATGTGCAAAAATTTGTGTCCTTTTATAGTAACACTTTTTTAAGTAAAAAAAAATGAAAAATAAGATTGGTCAAAACTAAAAAGATGACTGAGATCTGATTTCTTGTCAAAAGGTGTCAGAAAACTGTTAATGGAATTGTAAAGTTCCTTTTTAGATGGCAATCTGGTGATTGCTATCAAATTTAGGAGGTTGTTTAGGGTTTGAATTTCAAAACCCTAATTAAAGGTCCTTAACTCATCTCCTTAGAAGAAGTTTTGGCATCCAGTCAACAAGCAATGTGGCGACACAGCGGATGGGAAAGAGGAACACTTGGTTGGCTCCTAGCTATCTTGGTCAGCACAGGAGGAAAGCTTCTCATTGCTGAGCAGTTGCCTAGACAGACTCGGAGATGGGCGCGGGAGCTCTTCCTGGCGTGTGGGGGCAGTCTACAAAACAATTGCAACTTGGGGCAACTTACTCAGAGTTCTTACTCATCTATGGGAAGGACTAGAAGCCTGAACTACTGTGGGAATTGATGCTCCCCTTTCAAGAGAGGAGAGAGGTATCTCCCCTTCACACACGTCTGCGGAGCTTTTCTCATTTCTGCTTCAGAGTCTCATAACTAATCATTCCGTTAAAGTATTACAAATAGCTTTACTTTAGGCATGCACTTAACTCATTAGTTACGCTTCACCTTTTTTAGCTTACATACGTACAGCTTTGTCTCATTTTAGGGGGTTTACAGAGCTGAACTTAAAGCAACTTCATGTGCATGTTTGTAAACACATTTCCAAATGCTTGATTTTCACAGTAAGCACCTATTGACTTTGCAGCTGAATTTTTTTTTTTTCCAAAACATTTACACTTAGAGAGTTTTCCATGCAATTGCTTAGAGACATCAAACTGACTTTTATGGCCGGGCGCAGTGGCTCACGCCTGTAATCCAAACACTTTGGAGGCCAAGGCGGGCGGATCACCTGAGGTCGGGAGTTCAAGACCAGCCTGACCAACATGGTGAAACCCTGTCTTTTAAAAAATAAGAAAAAAATAAATTGACTTTTATTTGTTCGGGAAGGGAGATCAATTATTTTTCTGAGAAGCTGTGACAACAGCTGATATTGTGAAGGGGTGTGTGCATAATTATTAGGATCTTGATAGTTATAGTACATCAGCTATTTATTATTCTCAGCCTCAGAATTCAAAGAACTCATATACCCGCAAACTTGCAGGGAATTCTCTCATAATCATAAGTATACATAAGTGGCTCGTCAAGCTGAGAGACACTAATAGGGTACAAACTTGGTGCTGGGCAATACACAAGGAATTACAATCCATGCACCCTGGGGGCCCTCTCAGCATTCAGTCATTACACCTAGAGGTAAACAGAGTGGCATCAAGAGAACAGGAAAAAATTCCAGATGAGGAATTGAAGAATCAGAGAAGTTTCATAATTTGTTCAAGGATCCAGAGCTAGTATGTGTCCAAACAGAGATATAGCGCCTTTCTGTTCAAGAAACGAATGATATGAGAAAAATTGGTTGGGCGCGGTGGCTCAAGCCTGTAATCCCAGCACTTTGGGAGGCCAAGGCGGGTGGATCACGAGGTCAAGAGATCGAGACCATCCTGGTCAACATGGTGAAACCCCGTCTCTACTAAAAATACGAAAAATTAGTTGGGCATGGTGGCACGTGCCTGTAATCCCAGCTACTCAGGAGGCTGAGGCAGGAGAATTGCCTGAACTCAGGAGGCGGAGGTTGCGGTGAGCCGAGATCGCGCCATTGCACTCCAGCCTGGGTAACAAGAACGAAACTCCATCTCAAAAAAAAAAAAAATCTCACAGACAGATGTTTTAAAAATTTAGATCTTAAAAAGTTGTGACCACAGCCGGGCGCGGTGGCTCAAGCCTGTAATCCCAGCACTTTGGGAGGCCGAGGCGGGTGGATCACGAGGTCGAGAGATCGAGACCATCCCGGTCAACATGGTGAAACCCCGTCTCTACTAAAAATACAAAAAATTAGCTGGGCATGGTGGCACGTGCCTGTAATCCCAGCTACTCAGGAGGCTGAGGCTGGAGAATTGCCTGAACCCAGGAGGCAGAGGTTGCGGTGAGCCGAGATCGCGCCATTGCACTCCAGCCTGAGTAACAAGAGCGAAACTCCATCTCAAAAAAAATAAAAATAAAAATAAAGTTGTGACCACAACTGTGACCAGTCGTATAATGTTGGACTTCATGATGAGAAGGCCGTCCCAAGTTTGGGAGGAATTTATTTCTTATGAATAGGCCTCAAGGCCACTGCTTTTTTTTTTTTTTTTTTTTTTTTTTGATACGGAGTTTCGCTCGTTACCCAGGCTGGAGTGCAATGACGCAATCTCTGCTCACCACAACCTCCGCCTCCTAGGTTCGGGCAATTCTCCTGCCTCAGCCCCCTGAGTAGCTGGGATTATAGGTACACGCCACCATGCCCAAATAATTTTTTGTATTTTTAGTAGAGACGGGGTTTCACCATGTTGACCAGGATGGTCTCGATCTCTTGACCTCGTGATCCACCCACCTCAGCCTCCCAAACTGCTGGGATTACAGGTGTGAACCATCGCCCCCGGCGATAAGGCCACTGCTTTAATGGAGGGAGGCAAACTCCTTTTTTCTTTCTGCAGCCTCAACTTCCTAGGCTCAAGCGATCCTCCTTCCTCAGCTACCTGAGTAGCTGGGGCTATAGTCATGAGCCACCATGCCCAGCTGATGAAAAAAATTTTTTTTTTTTTTTTGGTAGAGATGAGGTCTCACTATGTTGCTCAGGCTGTTCTTGAGTTCCTGAGCTCCGGTGATCATCCTGCCTCAGCCATCCAAAGTGCTAGGAATACAGAAGTGAGCCACCATGCCTGGCTGCAAACTCCTTTTAACACAGCACCAGGCTGGGCACGGTGGCTCATGCCTGTAATCCCTGCACTTTGGAAGGCTTAGGCGGGTGGATCACCTGAGGTCAAGAGTTTGAGACCAGCCTGGCCAACATGATGAAACATCATCTCTACTAAAAATACAAAAAGTCAGCCAGGCATGGTGGTAAATGTCTGTAATCTCAACTACTCAGGAGGCTGAGGCAGGACAATCCCTTGAACCCGGGAGGCGGAGTTTGCAGTGAGCCGAGATGGTGCCACTGCAGCATGGCCTGACAACAAGAGTGAAACTCTATCTAAAAAAAAAAAAAAAAAGACAGCAGCATCAATGAGAGCAAACAACAGGGACAATGATGGTCGTGACAGTCCAGAGGAGTTTGGCAACATGAGGAGACAGATGCCAACTAAGTGACTTTAAAGGGAAAAAAAAACCAACATGAACATGGAGAGAATTTATAGTTTCAGATTAATCTATTTGAGGTCTGAAAATTCAGTGTACTCAGTATCAAGAGGACTATACTGATAGGCTGAGTTACAAATAGAAACATCATAACCAGGTCAAAAAAGAAAGTATCTATACTACAGGGCGCAGTGGCGGAGGCCGAGGTGGGTGGGTCACCTGAGGACAGGAGTTCAAGACAAGCCTGGCCATCATGGTGAAACCCCATCTTTTTTTAAAAAAGAAAAAAAAGAAAAAAGAAAAAGAAAAAAAGAAAGTATCTATACTGTATTAGTTTTCTGCTGCTGCTATAACAAAGTATCACAAACTTTCTGACTTACAACCACACAAATTAGTTTTACTTTTAGTCCAGGAAGTCAGACATCTGAAATCAAGGTGTCAGAAAGGCCATGTTCCCTTCTGGAGGTCCTAAGGGCAGTTTTTTCTCTGTGTTTTTCAGCTTCTAAAAGCTACCTGCATCCCTTGGGCTCTTGGCCCCTTTTGTCCACCCTTAAGGTCATCAGTAGTGTCTTTAGAGAAGGAGTTCTGTGACTGCAGCCCTGCTTCCCTCATCAGATCTCCTTCTCTGACTTCCCACCCTGCCTCCTTTTTCTCAGGACTTTGTGATTACACTGGGCCCGTCTAGATCATCCAGGATCATCTCCCCATCTCAAGATTCTTCACTTAATCCCATCTGCAAAATTCCTTTTGCTGTGTAAGGTGACACAGTTTCTAGGCATTAGGATATAGACATCTTTGTGGGTGGAAAGAGGCATTATTTTCTACATACGCTATTTATTTTGTCCTACCAAAAAACTCTTGGGGGGCCAGGCACAGTGACTCATTCCTGTAATCCTTGCACTTCGGAAGGCCAAGGCAGGTGGATCATTCGAGGTCAGGAGTTCATGACCAGCTTGGCCAACATGGTGAGACCCCATCTCTACTAAAAATACAAAAATTAGTGGGGCATGGTGGTGCACACCTGTACTCACAGCTGCTTGGGAGGCTGAGGTAGGAGAATCACTTGAATCCAGGAGACAGAGATTGCAGCGAGCTGAGATTGTGCTACTGTACCCTGGCCTGGGCAACAGAGACTCTGTCTTTAAAAAACCAACCAACCAACCAACAAACAAACAAACACTAAAACTCTTGG